GGCAAACGTTTTCACAGTGTTATGGAGCTGCTTTGCTCTGAGGCTTTGGTTGACTCACTCCTCCGTCTGGCGTGTGTGTTTCTATTACCTCATCTACCTGCATCGCTCGTCTCTTGCCTTCTATTCTCTGTCTTTTTCCTAACTTTGACTTTGCCTTCTCTCTCTTTATGTACTAACGCGTCTCTTCTCTGTCTTCTTGCAGCCGGTGAACCTTCCCGTCAAGGTAAAGTCCACTTCTTTTTTCTTTGTCTTGCCTTCAAGGCTGGGTCTCTTCCTTCTTTCTCTGTTCCCTAATTCTATAATTTTCTACGTATCTTTCTTTTCTATCTTACACTCTTGCACACTACATGTTCTAGCCAGTGCCTGTATGTACACTCTTAAATAATAACTAAGCGGCTTACTTGTAAAATAGAATTTTCCTTTGAATTACACGCACTGAAAATCCAGCATTGTGCCAATCAGCGGAGCGTGCATACGCAAGCACACTGTTTAATCAGATGTTTTGTCAAAGAATGTAAGCTCACTGCTCAAACAGTGTGGTTTAACAAGAATTCTGATTAAACAGTGTTCTAAGCAAACTGTTGGGTTTTCACTGTAGCAAGTTTGAGCAACCGTATGAGTACATACATTTAATTAGAGAGATTTAATAGCTCTAGAGTGGTAAACTGCGTGTATTTCGGATCGCGCGACTGAACTGCGTTAGCCTTGGAACGGGCAGCTGATCTGCCTGCCTTTCTGTCGAAGGTGTCGATTTGTGTTATGAAGTAATACAAATCGTTTTCCACTTCGTTTACTAATAAAATTCTTGCGAATTAGAGAAACAAACTCTACCAAACTCATGTTCTACTTTATAAAATACGTTCATTAAGACTTTAGACTAAGTTGTACAAGTTGTCTTTAACAAAGGAACCGTCTAGTTTTTACAAAAGAAATTGTTTGCAAGAGTTTTAGAGTGTATTTGCATGCGTTCTACTTGCTTGGGGCTTGGCCACAAAAAAGTTGCATAAGGGCTTATTCACAGAAGGTGACAGCTGACAGATTTTTAAAAACTGAAAGGAAACTAAGCACTTATTCTTTGATTTTCCACGTTGATATGGAAACTGTAGGCTGTCATTTTTCTTTTGTGTTTGCTGTTATTGATTGTACTAAGTATGCGAGCATACCTGCGTTTAAAATTAACGTATAAAGTAACACTGCTGTAGCTTTTTCACACTGCTGCAAAAGAGCGAACAGCCATTTGCACACACGCTAAGTATGGCCATTTGTTCACTGAAAAGACTGTGAATGAATTGTCATACATCTACAACAGCGTGAATGGATTCGCACATGAATTTTTAGCGATGTTGTTTACATATGTCTATCAATCAGAAACACGTTGTTAACAACGATTTCCCTCCCCTCAAATTTCACTGACAATCCGACAATGTATATGGGAAACTAATCACATCAGAACTCAGAAACGTACACCAAGGAAAGCGAGGGGGCAATAACTCCGATTATAAAGTGCATACCTGATTCCCGGAGTCAATATTTCCCGTTGATTCCCATAGATTTCCGTCGCGATTCCCATTGGTTCCTGTCATTCTCATTGGTTCCCGTTGAATTCCGTCGTGATTCTCATTGATTCCCGATGATTAACGACGTGATTCCCAGGCCGGTGTACATATAATTCCTAGAGTTACTGCGCCCTCTCAAAAAAGCGTGTTCTTTTATTACAGTTCTTAACTGTCTTCAGCACTTACGCCCAATTTCGACTCAAACCAATAATGTTCGTCCTTGAATCAAGAACCGCCTGTACAAATTATTCTTGAGACAGTCAAGTCCATTTTGCACTTAGTTCAAGCATGAAAAGCTTGATGCAAAAACAGGTTTATTTGGGTGTAGGAGTAATTTTCATTCACCTTTTGGTTTTTTTTTACTATCGGTCTAAACTAACTTTATCTAGTTTGCAAATCAGTGGCGTTCTAATAGCAAAAAGTGAACGCACCACATGGGGTGCATTTCATAACCGAAAACTCGCAGTCCGCTGCTGTCCACAGTTTTGGTGGAGTTTGTCACCCCTTCCCCTTCCTCGCACAAGCAGAACCACGTGTTGCACTGCTTGGGCTTTGGCCCGATTTATCAACTTGGGTAAGAGGGGTTCGGGGGCAGGGGGGATAATGAGGGGCGGGGTGGGTCGGGGGGGAGGAGGGAGGTTCCCGATAGCAGGGAGCGCGGGCTCTGGAGTGGACAGGCACCAGGACAGGGCGGAGGGGCGGAGCGCAGGCCGGGCATCGGTCATACATCGACTCGCACACGCCATCCTCTTTGTCGGGGAGCACGGGGGGTGGGGTGCTAAACCGTGCGAGCCTGGGGTCGGGGGGACAGCATCGACCCCGCGGGGGAGTGAGCAGGGAGGGTACTCTGCCGTTATTAGCATAGCCCATTGAGGCTGGGCAGAGGAGGAGGGTCGGGGGAAGTTGGACGGGGCCCCGCCTCTGTTAACATCCTGGCCGGGCGTGGCTGCCGAGGCTGAGACGGCGTCACGTCTAAGCTCGCTCACCAGACTGCTGTGTTTCTTGTCGTGAGTCGCGTTTTGCCTCGCGTTTTGCTGTACATAGTCAAACAAGGTAGACGGGTTAAACGCGTCCCCATACTCGCCAGTGTTTCTTGCTTAGTTTAGTTCTTCTACGGGCTCTAGTCCTGGGCCCCCACCCTAGCCTACCGAGGTGTTACCCTGAACCGCTGACGCGCCTCGACTCGTGCGGCCAAGGGTGATTTTGGTGGCCTATTGGTTGACGTTGTGATTGCTGGCTGTTTGCAGTATGGCTGTTGGTCCTGATTGCGGGCGCTGTGAAGTGATTCTCTGTCCCTTTGGCACCCCCCCCCCTTTTTTTTGGCCTTCCTCCGTTTTCACTTCTTCCCTCTCCCAGCGTGCTGCCCGACTGCTGGCTTTGCTCTGGCATTGTCCCTCCCTCGCGGTTCGTTGTGAGGGTAAGGGGAGGGGGGACTGGGGTGGGGCCGGAGTTGCTGGTCCAGCTGTAGCAGCAGGGCTGCTGGCGGTAGACCGGACGGTAGACCGGGCGGTAGCCCTGTGCCTCGTCTGCCCCCCCCCCCCCCAAGCCCAGCCGCCGCCGTTGCCGACCCGTGCCTAGCGCCACTCCCCCACCCCTCCCCCGCCTGCCTCAATCAATAGCTCCCCGTACTCACCCCATCCTCCACCCCTTCACCCACACCCCTTCATTCTGCACCTCCCCCCCCCCCCCTTTGGGAAAGAGGACCGGGGGGGGGGGCGAAGGGAGAAGGGGTAAAGACGAAAGTTAGTGTCCCAGCACAAGGCTGTGCGCTGCTCGGCTCGGCACTCCCCCCCAGCGGCCGCGGCCCTGGCGGGAGGGGAGCTGGTGGGGGAGGCGAAGTCACGTGAACAAGTCATCGGTCCAGCATTTCGTCGACCCGGGAGGGATAGGGAAAGACTCGCTGTATACCTGTTCTTGGTTCAGCGCGTGTGTCTTTGGACTTTTTGTGGCTGTCGATATGAACCCAGAAAAAGTAAACAACAGAGAGTATTCGGACTCCTCTTCCCCCTCCCTGGCCTGCAGGGGCCAAACCTAATTACCACTCGCTGTTCCGCGAGGCGCCCAGCAACCCGACGGCAGCGAACTACGCCCCGCCCGGTCCCGACCGCCTCACCGCCTCACCCCGCCCCGGCACGAACTGGGACTGGATTGCGGTTCCGACCCGCTGGTGGTGCTATGGTGTTGCGATTCGGATTGGGGTTCGCGGATTTGCACACCGCCGCTGATGGGATCCTCCCGCGGGCCTGGCGGACCTGGTGGGTCCCACGGGAAAAGGGAAGGGGTGGAAGGGAGGCTTCCAACACGTTGGCGCCCCGGTCTGTTCGCCCCCACCCCACCCCCCTTCCCCCCTCGCCGCCACGCACTACTAAAAGCTTACACTGGTAAAACAAATGAAGAAAGTTGCACACCTATTGATGTGAAGCTTCATAAGTGTGCAAAAACTAAACACTTCGTGATGTCGAACTGAGTTAGACGTCAATTGATGTGCAAACATTAGACATTTTCTACGAAGTGCACAGTTAAAGTCTTACGAAGCAAAATGCCAAATGCTTCGTACCTACGAAGGATTTGCGCCCTACCAAGCGTCCAAATCCTTCGTATTACAAAGGATTTGGCATTTTTCTTCGTAAGACTTTAACAGTGTGTGCAGTTAAGTTAAACACCATGTAATGTGCAAAATCGTGAGTTGCACACTAAAGTATTTGTACACTCGTTTTACCAGTATACGCTGAAATTCGCCTGCAGCGTTTCAGATTTCTTACGGTGACTTGAAGTGTTGTCAGGATTCCTAAATGTAGATTTTTTGTGCCCAAAACCGGAAACACAAAAGTTTCAAGTCGCATCTTTAAAAGGTGCTCAGGTCAGGGGATGCGTGCTTTTATTAGGAAATTAGGACTGCCGAATACATAAAACTGAACACTTTTGTGGCGGCCTGCGTAGGAGGACTAAACACCTTCGTTCCTACAGTAAAATTGCGTCGATCTGTCCATCTATGCGTTTGCACAAATAAGAACATTAACGGGGACGTTTTTCCGTCAAATCGAAGACACACGCCTTTCCTTGCTCGGCGTGAGCTTGTATTGGCTTTAGTAGTGCTTCCTCGCCGGCTGATGAGGCGGCTCTGTGGTTTGCGCCTGCCCCCGCCGCCCCCCGCTCCTCACTCCGACTCGCTGGACTGCGGGCGCGGTGCGACTAATCAGTAATCAGGCGCCGCTTTGCCTTTCCGCCCGCCGCCGCCGAGTTTGGAGCCCGCCGCGCCGCTCCGCCTCCCAAGGAGGGCGGATCGGAGGCGAGGGGTAACTCCCACAAAGTTGCGAATTCCGTCAGGGACTCCTAAACGGTATAAAAGAGAAAACTTTCGTTTTGGCCAAAGGTAGAGAAAGAAAAATGTGGACGGTATACCGGGTGGCTGACTAACCCCGCGCATTTCTTTAGTCGTACTGTATACTCGCTCCGCGCTATAAGGCGCCGTGGTCAGGGGCGATAGACAAACCCGTCAGCAGGTTGCACCAGCACGTGGGGTAAATGAACCTTCTGCGTGTAACGAGCACCGGTTTCTATAGTTTTACACCTTCTGAAACTATTCCGAGATCTCTCTGAAACGCTCTGAATTTGTCATTCCAATTGATTTGTTCATACGGGTATTGAGTGTAAAGTCTACGATGAA